TAGAGGGCTTTCAGGGGTAACCTGAATAAATAAATAAATATATTTATGATGTTCCGCTCAAGTGCAGCAGGTCCATCCATATTGTCCACATGGCCAATGACACTTTTACACATAGAGTGTGGAGCAGTCTCGTATGCACTGACTTCAAAATCCTTGTCGCCACTCTTACTGACCTGATTCATTTTTTTGGCTTTGCTCCTTTCTGGCATACTATCCTCCAATATATTTTGTCTGAAGTTAGGGCAAATTACATCTTTTTTAATCTTATCAGTAGTGAGGCCTGCCGCCTGGACGATAGCCTTGCCACCAGTTGTAGAGCCGACTTTCTCCAAATTCAATCCACCAAGTAAGCGAAACTATCTTAATGTGTTCTCCCGGCAACGGTGGCATTTGTGACAAATTCAGAATGCGTTGCTTAATTGACGGTTCACATGACGGTTCACAAGCCAGATTGTGAACCGTCATCGCCTGGTGCAGGCATCGTCGGAAGTGTTGATTTTTCGTTTGACGCCGTCCGCCATCCTAGATCTTCAGTAAGTTCCTCTGCGGACAACACTTCAACTTCTGCTTGCATAGCTGCCATGCTGGACGCGTGCGTCCCGCCGTGTAGGGCTTGCAGACGCTGTGCCTAGCGCTTGGTCAACGCTTCGGCAGCACAAAAGTTGAGATAATGTCCAGAAAAGCAGTGCCCCACCTTAAAGTTTCATATCTGCCAAATCCTGTCCTTTCCACGGATCATCAACATCATCGTCGTCGTTATCATAATTTTCAGCCTGACTACGCCCACTGAAGGACAGAGGCCTCTCCCATGTTCCGCCAGTTAACTCGGTCCTGTGCTTGCTGCTGCCGATTTATACCCCCAAAACTTCTTAATCTCCTCTGTCCACCTAGCCTTCTGTCTCCCCCTAACCCACTTACCTTCTCTGGGAATCTAGTTAGTTACCCTAATGACCAGCGGTAATCCCGTCTACGCCCTACATGCCCAACCCATGTCCATTTCCTCTTCTTGATTTCAACAATGATATCCTTAACCCCCATTTGTTCCCTCATCAACTCTGCTCTTTTTTGTCTCTTAAGGTTACATCTATCATTTTTCTTTTCATTGCCCGTGGCGTGTTCCTCAATTTAAGCCGAACCCTCTCTGTAAGTCTCCAGGTTTCTGCTCCGTAGCTAAGTACCGACAAGATACAGCTGTTATATACCTTCTTCTTGAGGGATAGTGGAAATCTACCTGCAAATATTTGAGAGTGCTTGCCAAATGTGCTCCAACTTTCTGATTCTTCTAGTTACTTCAATCTCGTGGTTCGGCTCCGCAGTTATTACCTGTCCTGAGTAGACATAGTCTTTTACAACTAAAAGTGCACTATTTCCTATCTCGAAGCGCCGCTCTCTTACGAGGTTATGGTACATTACTTTTGTTTTCTTCAGTATAAGTTTAAGACCCACCTTTCTGCTATCCTTGGCTAACTCCGTAATCGTGAGGTGCGTATAATCCCCTGAGTCACTCAGCAATGCAATGTCATCGGCTAAGCGCAGTTAACTAAGGTACTCTTCATTAACTCTTATCCCTAACTGCTCCCATTCTAGGCCTCTGAAAGCTCCTGTAAGCACGCGGTAAATAGCATTACGGAGATTGTATCCCCTTACCTTACATCCTTCTTCGCGGATCGGATGATCTTAAATATGCACTCCACAGTGACAAAAATGCTTCGGAAATATTCGCAAAATACGGAGCCGAATTAAACGCGTCCGGTCCCCTCGGTGACCGCGGCGTCTCTCTAGAGTACTGTATGCTGTCTGAAATTAGTGTGTTGTAGTAATAGGTGCCTTCACTTGATGATCTAAAACAAGTGTCTCCCTTGAAAATATTTTCAATTCATGTACACACATTTACAGCGCAAATATTTTCAAGATAGAAGCTGGTCCACTCAGAGTTGATGCATCATTTATTTTAAAATGTTTTATTTTACTTCCAAAATACAATATGAATATTTCTCATTTGTTAGTGGAGAGCAGCGAATGCATTTACCCATCTGGTATTTTTTAACGTGCTGTAGACGGTCTTACCTCCGTCAAAATTCGACCGGCAGAGCTGTGATTGAACAAGCCACCTTCGCGCCAGTAGCTGAGAACCACAGCCGCGGCATCACCACGCGCGGACAAGACATCAAAGTTGAACTAGGAGGCCCAGTCAAGGGACATAGGGTCAATTTGAAAAGTCACAAATTTTCACAACACAGAATAACGATAGAAGAGCGTCATCTTGTGATCCTCTGCTTTCGGGGTTTCTCGAGTTTCTAAAATTAGCAACATCACAGCTCAGACGTCATTGTTGAGACTGTGCTTCTGTTCATATGTGCTGTTATTCATATATTTGATCTACAAAATAATCAAGCAATTTCGCGTAGCTTTCTTTTGTAATTACCTCAATGTTTCTAATATATTATGAAATATTTGCACGTATTTAAAGATTAGAAATCCCCGCTTCTTGAGAATTTCATTTGTGCAGTACTTGTCAGCTCTGTACCATCTGCAAAGTAAATGACGGTGACTTCGCTGGATCGAACGGGCAATTTTTGCTGAAAGATGCGCTGCTTAATCATAAAGATGTATCTTCTTTGACAGTTCTTCGATCGCGCTTGTTTTGTGGAAACTTGTATGTTCGTTTTGTGCGTCCTTTGTTGTGTTTAAGCAGCACAAATATGTATTAAGCTTTCACAGTTGGTTTATGGTTTGAGCTGAAGCAGCACGCTGCATGGTTTGTGCTGCTTGCCGTGCTTTCCAATATAATTGAAGTTGCAGCTATGGCATTCAACGCATCGCCCTTCCTGCCTAATATCGACTTTTTTATTAGTTTGTTGATGTCAACTTTGCACAGCGTTCTCGAAATGTTGTATGCAGGGACATGTTGACAGCTTCATCAAACACAACGGTTATGATTATGAGCATTAGTCACCGAGATAAAGAAATGCTACTATACGCGTCAACGTAGATGTATACACGTAATGTAGCTCAGTAGCTGTCAAACACCAATAGAACGTGTGGAAGCCCTATCAATTTACATCATCATGAGCCTGACTGCGTCCACCCTTCTGCCAGTCAGTTAGGACCTGTGAATGCTGCTGACCCTTTATACCCGAATACTAAAGTAGGAGGGAGCCTGAATTTCGGCTCCTAGCTTCCGACTCCTTTCCTAGAATATGTCTTTTAGATGCGAAGGAGATATTTGACTACTCTCAGTAACGCTGTCCCTCTCTATACCCCCATTTCACCTGCTCGCGTATCGCGTATCGCGGCGGCCCAGGAAGACACCCGCTACACTGTAACTCACCTTCCCCTCTCTCGCCTCACAGGGCCGACGCAGGCAGCGTGTGTTAGTGACAAAAATTGAAGGCGGATCCACGAGGTGAATGTTGATGAGATTGAGCGAAGCTTCTGGAAGTAAACATCGCTTATACCATGAAATTGCTACCATCAATGCGCCCGCTGAAATTGACGTGAAACTATTGATGAAATGGTTTATCAAAGTTTTATTGCTGGTTTCCATTGTCCTTCCATTATGACAACTTTGTGGTCGGTGAAGTGTAGGCTAAGTGGTTCTTGCACTTCTTGCAGATGAAAGCTGGCAAACACGAGGTCGATGCAGGTGCCTCTGATAGTGGTTGGGTTGGGGTTTTCAAAGGAGATGCATTTGAACCCGTACTTTTCTGACATGTGATGCATCAACCAATGTTTGTTAAGCCTGCTAATGGGTAATTAGAGACAGAAGAATTCAGCTTTTAGTTAACGCACACGCTGCGAATTTTTTATTGTTCAACAACGCACACGAGAAATCTCCCACCGGCATGTCGACGCAGGTGCCTCTGATAGTGGTTGGGTTGGGGTTTTCAAAAGAGATGCACTAGAAGCCGTACTTTTGGGACATGTGATGCATCAACCTATGTTTGTTATGGCTGCTAATGGTGAATGTGAGACAGGAGAATTTGGCTTTTAGTGAACGCGCACGCTGTGAATTTTTTTATTGTTCAACAACGCACAGGAGAAATCTCCCACCGGCACCACCTTGCAGGTCAAAGCATAAGACTAGCGACGCACTACGACTGCGACGAGGGACGAATGGTTGCCGCCCTAAGGAGCTTCGCCCCTAAAACTGACTTCTCTTGCTGCACAACCTTTTAGTGGCCACCCGGTATATGTAGGTACTTGGACTCACGTTCAGAATTCAGTCAAGAGCGTCCTTACATGGCTTTCGCTTGATGAGCGCCAGCGTCAATGTTACCACCAGTGTAAGCTTAAGCGTCCGGTCCTTCGTATCTTCACATGGTTCTCTTTAGCGGGAAATGGTCAAAGTTTTGTTCAGCGTTTTTTGCTGTTGTGTACCTAATCGGTTATCTTGCTTTGCGTTACGTGCTCTGCCTGTGACCATTTCTTCTTTTTGATTTCAACTATGATGTCCCTAACACCCATTTGTTACTTGATACACTCTGCTTTTTTTCTTGTTTCTTAGGGTTTCACTTTTCGTTTCCCTTTCCAATTTTCGCTGCTTCGTCCTCAAAATAGGTTGAACCCTCTTCGTATTCCTCCTGTTTCTCTTCCTTGGGTAAGTACCAGTAAAATTAAATGTCATCTACCTTCCTCTTTAGAGATAGTGGCAACCTACTGTTCATAATTTAGGCATGCTTGCTTCATGTGCACGCCCCATTCTTATATTTCTGGTTGCTTGAATTTTGTGGTTCGGCGCCTGGATGTACCAATGTACATTAAGTGCTCAACCACCCCTCTGATGACATATTTCACTTTCGTGTTATAGCTAGCGCTAGGACGCAGAAATGAGGTGCATATTTAATTAACGTTGCTAAGCGAACATCAATATTGAGCCCATTCACTGCTAAAAAAGCCACACTTTTGTGTAGCGCCCTCCATCGAGATTACTCTGATTACTCTGAAGAGGCTTGGTTTTAGCCCCTTGTAAGTGGATAGAACATCGCTGGAAAGCTCACCTGCACAAAGGGAGGACTCCAAGTCCATCTCCTGAGAATCTGTAATGACAAACACAGTAATTATTACTGTGACAATCAATTATCTGGTTATTCTTTTAAATTGGCGTTTGCTTGAGCCACAAAACTACATATCCTGTGTAGGAAAATAGGCCGAATATTTGGCGAATGAAAACGCAGGGCGTACTCTTTCTGGCTTTCAAACTGCAGAGTATAAATTGTCCAGTGAAGTGAAAGCAATGAAGCGAATAATAAATATTCATTTTATCAATGAGATCCCCATTCACAGCCTTCGAATTGCGTGTTCGATGCTACTCCATTTAAGCTACGATGAAGGACGGATCTTCATCTGTTTTGTTTCTATTGGGTGCCTTGGTGCCCTCAATCCCTCAGAGTGTATGCCAATGCCACTAGCAGCGGAGGTGGCAAGTCTTGCATAATTTTTTTTGATATTTTTCTGAGTAGATGAAGCGGCACGCATTGTTTACTGCAGTTCGCAGCTCACTAACAAACCCACGTATGGTGAGTGAGTGAGTAACAACATTATTAATCAGAGAGGTGGGGATTACGGCCTTTTAAATATAGCTGTACACCGTCAAGAGGTCATTTAAACATATTTTTGAAACAATTGATGGCTTCATAAACAAGATTCATATCATACTTTATCGATAGAAATTGCAGAGTTTCATGCCAATGCTACGAATAAAGTATATAGCGTAGCATTACAAAGGATACCTGTTCACGGTGGCATAATGGGAGTGAATAGGTTGAGGCGATAGCCGAGTGAGTTTTCTATTGAGTAGGACGCTAGTTTTTTGCGCTCTTGTTCTTTTCTCTACAATACCTCCGCGCTGTCCGTTTGCGCGCAGCCCTTTTAAGTGCTATAGTTATCATCACATAGAAGCCACCATACGAAGGCAAACCAAGGAAGCCGCTCAGGCTTCCTTAGCATCACATCGGTGCCCAAGCATGAGCAGCAGCAGCAGAAACCACGGAAGTCTGCGTGCTTCGAATTCAAACGCAAGTCTCGGGGGAACAGTTTCCATGACACTTCCAAGCTCACCTGCCGACTGCGAGTGAGTATAAAGTTTAAACCGAATTTTTCTCCTCTCGAACCACGGTCGCGGCTTCTTGCAAGGAACACCCTCCTCGCCATTGTTACCAGAACAAACAACATCATCTCCTTTCCTCCCCCAGTCCCAGCGGCAGCCGAGCAAATGGCGTCCTCCCCAAGTGCTGGCGTGCCTGCAAGCACTTCTCCGAACACTCATCGAGCCACCAAGTCCACCAAGCCGTTGGAGATTTAATTCAGAGTGACGGGGCGGTCACCTTCAATTATCGACCCGTCGAGAAGAAGGCCAACTTCCTGGATGTGTCGAAGGACGCGATCGCCGCCTTCTACTCGGAATTTCCTGCCAGCCAACCTCTGCGAGTGAGCTTCAAACGCAACTTGGTTGCGGTTGTCACGCACCATGCCATCAATCTTCTCCGGGTGGCGAGATAATCTGCGAGGTACAGATCCGGCTCGAGACACTGAACCGGAATACATCTGCTGGAATGACCTGTAGGAGGACGTGCGGCTTTTGGTTTCCACATGTTTAAATGCGAAGCATTTCTTAGCGAACTTCGGCGACTTTGAGCGTATCTATCTATCTATCTATCTATCTATCTATCTATTTATCTATCTCTCTATCTATCTATCTATCTATCTATCTATCTATCTATCTATCTATCTATCTATCTATCTATCTATCTATCTATCTATCTAGCCACCTACCGATTCCACCTCTCCTGACCGTTTCGATTAGGGTATTGATACCACATTTTGTATGGCATAACCTGACTGTCTGAAGAACATATTTGACTAGTCATAACATAAAGATCATCGCATGTATGTCATGAATATTATGATTTTCTTTTCATGGTTCTGCAGCTCTTGCAGTGGTTTCGTTCACAAGGCATGTTACAAAACTGGTATGGTATGGCATGAATGCAGGGCGAACACAAGCGACAGACCCTAACTTGAAAATCACGATATGCGTGTCATGTAGAAATATGACTACACGCGGCGCTCATGATGCAGTGGCGGCCGTTTCGCTAGCTTCAGTTATACTAAATTTGGTATTACGAGACGAGAACGATTGATTGATTGATATTTGGGGTTTGACGTTCCAAAACCACCGTATGATTATGAGAGACGCCGAAGTGTGGGGCTCCGGAAATTTCGACCACCGAAGGTTCCTTAATGTGCACCCAAATCTGAGCGCAAGGGCCTCCAACATTTCCACCTCCGTCGGAAATGCAGCCGCCACAGCCGGGATTCGATCACGCGACCTGCGGGTCAGCAGCCGAGAACCTTAGCCACCAGACCACCGCGGCGGGGCGACAAGAAGAGAATGGATGACGAAGGTATAATACTGGTGCACACATGATAAACATGAGATGCGTATCATGCAACAACATGACTACACGCCACGCTCATGATCCGCTCGCGCCCGTTTCGCTAGCTTCACATGTACCAAACTCAGTATTACGCGACGCCAATGAAGGCCGAAGGTATGTGACTGGTGCAAACCTGATAATCACAAGATGCAAGTCATTTGAGAGCATCACTACATGACGAAGTGAAGACGCCAATACATTTACGCGTGCTCGCCGGCGTTCATTCTGTCGTGCCACGCTAGCATTGCCATGCCAGGCGGCGGTCCTGCCGTATTCTCGTAGGCGCGCGCTGCGCTGCGTTGCTTTGACGCATGCACGTTTCAACGCGTCCGCCGTCCCTCCGTCACGTAATGAGGAGGACGCAGTGTTGTCTGGATAACCATTCGGCGCGATTACAGCCTGTCGCATTTCGCGCTGGTCGCCGTCTGGCCGTGCCGACGGACGCTGGTCGCGCCTGGCGTCAGGCTATACAGTGCTCACTTTTTAGTGTGAACACACTTTATAAGCGACCCCAAACCATCCACCGCCGTCGGCGGCGTCCGCAGTCTTCTCTCTATCTTTAAAAGAAAGAGGACTTGGCGGGCCACAGCGCGACGCTCTACCGAATAAGCCATGGACGCGACGCTGATATCGGTGTCAGTAACGCGCCTTATATCTTTAACGCCGCTGCGCGCGTCCCCCTCCCCCTTCGCTTGCTCCTCCGCTCTTCTCGCTCGCTGCAGCTGCGCGCACACCCCTCTCTCGCGCGCCCGCCTTCTCTCTCAGTCTCCCGTCGAGAGCGGGTCATGCGATGGATGTCCCGGAGACAACGCTACCATCAACAACGAATGCAGTACAACCTTAGAAATTGCAGAGTTTCATGCCAATGCTACGAATAATGTATATAGCAGCACTGCACCCGTCGTTGGAGGTGACGGTACCGCGGTGGTTTCGTGCAGCGGATGCCGAACTGCGCGCTCGCGAGGCCGAGGACAAGCGGGCGAAGCGTGCAGAGGATGCCGAAGTTCGCGCTCGCGAGGCCGAGGACAAGCGTGCGATGATGATGATGAAAAACATTTATTATAAAAGAGGGAGGTACGGGGCCAAAGCATGACCCCGCTGCATGGTCGGCGTCCTTAGTCCGGGACACCGCATGACGAGACCCCTACTCGCGCCCGTCTCACCAGAGCCCGTTGAGACTCTAGTGATGAGCAGTTGAGGAGGGCAGTCTCCCATGCCTCTCGGGAAGGGGTAGGGGAACGGGGTAGGTGGGGATTTTTCGGACATGCCCATACCATGTGGAAGATATCACATGTCTCCCCACAGTGTGGGCACCGCGCATCTGTGTTCGCATCGAAATGTTTTAGGATTGCAGGACAGAGTAGAGTACCTGTCTGCAGGCGCCTTAGAGTTCGCTCTTCCGCCTTACTCAGCCCCTTTGCAGGAGCCGGGTAAAGGCGGTGAGTGTCGCGATAATAGGTCAGAATTTCTTTGAATCGCAGCAGCGGTGTATTGGCCTCTGAGTCATAAGAGCCAAGGTGAGGAGCCCGGTGGGTAAGCGCTCGGGCGGCCGCGTCAGCGGCCTCATTACCTCGTAAGCCCTGATGGTCAGGAGCCCATACGATGCATTTAGGGGCTGGATCAGCGAGGGCCCGTTTTAGAATTTGGCTGGCTAGGGGGGGGGGGGATATCTCTCCTACCAAGTAATGAGCACATGCTTTCCGGGAGTCCGTGATGATAACTTTCGAGTTGGGGTCCGCAGCAGCAAGCGCTATCGCGACTTCCTCAGCGCGCTCTGGATTTTGTGCTCGGAACGAGAGCCCATTGACATGCTTTTCCCGGTGAACTACAGAGGCCGTGTAAAATCCCGTGGGCGAAGGCCCTGCTATATCTTGGTAGAATACACCAGGTCGGGAGCCGTGTTGCCTCTCAAGCGTCCTAGCCCGCGCCTGTCTTCTGCTTTCGTGCGTGTGCTTATCCATGTTACTGGGGAGTGGAGAGACCGAGAGCATATGCCGCCACAGTTCCGGAATACGCTCCGCCTCCTCTGCAGTGCAAGTGTGCTCTATATGTAAGCGGTTTAGCAGGCGGCGCCCGGGAGCCGTCTGCACGAGCCGCGTATACTGATTCATAAGGTGGGCCTCCCGCAACTCCTGGTAGGAGTTGAGCACACCTAACGCCCTCAGTTTGGCGTTGGAAGTGGTCACCGGGAGATCCAGAGCTCGTTTAGTACCCTTACGAATGATGGCATCTATTTTTTTGTCTTCTTGCTTGTTAGTGCGAAGGTACGGGACGGAGTAGAGGATCCGGCTAGTCACAAAGGCATGGGCGAGCCGAAGCGCGTCCCTGATCCGCAGACCACCCCACTTGTTGGAAACGCGGTGGATCATGCGCCCTACCTGTTCGCCTATTCTCTTGAGTTTCGCTATAGTGGAGTCCGGTCTGAGTCTGTGGTGAATGAACAGGCCCAGAATCCGGAGCTCCTCCACCTCTCTGATGGGAACCCCAAACAGGGAGATGTGTATGGCTGGCTTATTTCTTGGCTTCGCTCTAACGTGCAGAAGCTCTGATTTGTTTGGAGCACATTGGAGTCCACAATCGTTGGCATACGCCTCGACTAT